CAGTGTTGGTTTTAAACACAGGGAAAGAACTAGGCACCACCTGAATGTCCAACAATGCGGGAATGATTACAGAAATGTTAAGGTCCATGGATACACAGGAGCACTCTGCAGGCACTGATGATGACGTTTCATAAGCCTGTTGAATAGCATGGAAAGAAGTTCAATGGGTTGATTTTTGTTTGGTTTTAGTTGCTGAAAAAGCAGGTTAAGAAACACCACATAGATGAACCATTCTACAACAGTATGTAAAGAGGGGAGGTGGGGTGAGGGAAAGAGGGAGGGAGATAAGAGAGCCTGGAAAAACAGCACACCAAAAAGGTAAAAGTGGTTCTCTCTGGGAAGTGGGATCATAGGGAGCAACTACTCTCTTGCTTTTCTCTCATATGATTTCCTTCTCCTTTCTGATAGTTGTACCATGAAATTCTATCACCTGTGCAGTAAACAAAGAGAGACAGAAAATGCGTTCATAAAACAAACCACAGGGAGAAGAGGCAGCCTTTAACTTATCAAATGGCACAGATTAGTAGGGTTGCTCAGGACGCCCTAGGTAGGATGGGGGGGGGGGGGGGGGGGGGGGAAGGGGGGGAGGCAGAAGCTAGGAAGTGGGGAAAGGGGGGAGAGAGGAAAGACTCTGGGAGGGGGCCGGGAGAGGGAGAGGGAGAGGGAGAGGGAGGTGGGGGGGAAGAGAGAGAGACCTGCACTCTCAATACAATACACTGCTGGTGGGTTGGGGGGGGGGGTTGTAAACCGGGTGGGAGCCAAGATTTGGCTTTGCTCATCGCAAGGTGGCCTCCTCATCGGTGTCATCCTGGAAATCCTTGACGTCACCACTGGTGGACTGCCTTGCCCAGGCTCCCCTTTCAGCCTCTCTCTCTTTATGCGACTTGAATCTCCCGACGAAAATTTTGCGGTAGTTTAGGAACATGCCATTCATCGCATCTATGGCCCGCTCCGCCGACTCCTGCTTCTGGAAGTGCACGAAACCATAGCCCTTGGGCCCCTTTTCATCACAGGCCACTTTGCAGGAGAGGATGTTGCCAAACGCCGAGAAGATGTTGTACAGCGCCTTGTTGTCGATGGTCTTGCCCAGGTTCTTGATGAAGACGTTGCCCACCCCGCTCTTGCGGAGCGAGGGGTCCCTCTGGGACCACATGATGCGCACTGGCCTGCCCTTTATGACATCAAAGTTCAGGGTCTCTAGGGCTCGCTTGGCATCCACCGGTTGCTGGTAGTTGACATATGCGTAGCCCAAAGAGCGGCGGGTGATCTTATCCCTGCAAATGCGGATGGACAGGATCGGCCCCGCTGGGCTGAACTTCTCATACAGCATTGCCTCGGTCACCTCGGGGTGCAGGTCGCCCACGTACAGAGAGGCCATGGGAAAATCGGGGTTCCCTTCCGAGCCCCCGCCCAATTCCGCACCTGCATCCTCGGCGGCCAACGCCGCCGCTAGCTCCTCATCCACATCCAGCTCCCCCATGCGGGGCGCCGCAGCCTCCACTGCTGCGGAGGCGGCAGCGGCAGTGCTGGCCTCCGCCGCAGCCACCAAAGCTGACGCCCGGGCGGCCTCCACCTCCTGCCCCAGGTTGGCCTCTGCCTCTGCCTCCTTTCCGGAGGCCTCGGCCTCCACCTCTGCTTCCGCCTCCGCTACAGAGGCCTCCGCCACCGCCTCGGCCACGGTCGCCGCCGCAGCCTCTGCCGCTGCGGCCGCCGCCGCAGCCACCGCCGCCGCCACCGCTGCTGCCACTGTCGCCGCTGTCGCCAGGATCACCACTGACACTGGGCCGCTGCCGCGACCTCCCTTCCAGAGAACTGAGTGGGTGGAGAGGAGGGGGAGGGCAGGAGGCCCGGTGGGTGCCGGAACCCGGGACAGGGGTTGCGATCGGGAGCTGAGGAAGGGGGCCCCAGAGCTAGCCGATCTGGCGAGTCCAAATCACCTGGGATGGCGAGCGCCGCCAGGAGCGCGCCGATGCGAGTCGCCGCAGCCTGCAGCCTGCTGCTGTTGCCGCCGCCGCTCGGTCGTGGGCTAACGTGCGGGGCGCGGGCGGGAGGGCGGCGTGTGGTGGGGGGCGGGGGGTGTTGGCGTCTGCGGTCCGGGCAGCTGGGAAGGCTTCTGTCTCTTTGGTTCCCCCTGTGGCAGCTGCGGGGCTTTGGGGCCGCGGGTGGTGGGAGGGGGTGGGAGCCAGAGCAGGAGCAGGAGCACAGCCTGAGGCTAGAGGCGGGGTGGCTATGGAGGTGGGATGGGGGTGTTCAGTGTTCAGCCTCTTGGGGTCTCTGCATATTCATGAAGAGGATGCCAGGGAAAGGGCTCCACTGTGGACCAAAGGAATTCGGGTCCCATGGTGGGGGCGCGGGGTGGGGGGCGGGGCTGTTTTTGTGCCCTTCTCCTTGTAATGGAACATTTCAATGTTTAAATCAAGTACCTTGCAAGAGTGGGTGGGGGTGGCCTTGAAGATAAACAAAGCCAAGGAAACGAGTTTTCAGGGGTCCCTCCCCCACCACAAAGCACAGAGGGCCCCAAAGTCACCACCACCAATGAAAACATTCCCTTTCCGAGGCTCCCAAGCTACCCATGCAGCCGACTAGTCTGTTTTCTGAACCCTCCTTCATTTTTCCAGTTCTTTCCCTCCTCTGCCACAAATATTTATGGATGGCCCCTGCCAGTCCTTAGGGATGCAGAGGTCTGGGAAACAGGGGGACATAGCCTGGTTTTTAGCTTTTTCTTGGAGCAAACAATCTGGACTGGAAACCCTATCCCAGCAGAATTATGGACTTAGGTTTCTGAACACCCCAGCTCGGGCCCACCTGCCTGGAAGTGGGAGGATCAAGAGCACCCTGTTTCTAGGGCCATCCTCAATCCTCACATGAGAAAGGTCAAATCAAGGGCAGGGAGCAGGCCCTGGTCCAGAGCCAGGCACTTGTTTAGTCTTGGCTGTGCTCTCAAGGTGCTGAGGTTTCCAACCTGGACCAAGAAAGGCACATCCACATTCAAAGAAAAATTTAAACAAATCCTGAAATCTCTCTCTAGAATGAGGTTCCTAGTCCTAGTCTACCAGCTATACCTACAGCACTGGTGGCTAGGAGACAGGCAATGATGTGATAACTGAGCAATGGGCATTGATGTGTTGAGGTATGGGGCAGGAAGAAAAGAAGTGATTCCTATGTGTATATGCATGAGTGTGTGGGGGTGAGTGTGTGTGTGTGTGTGTGTGTGAGAGAGAGAGAGAGCGGGGCAGGGGGCTGGGGACAGAGAGAGATAGGAGCAATGAGGCTACGCAGGGCTTAATGTTGAGGGAACAGATCAGCTAGCAGCCCTCAGAGTAGATTGTAATGGAAACTAGATTCCCAAATTGTACAGAAAGGAGAAACAGCCACTAATTCTTCCTAGTAGGAATCAAGGGAGGCTGCCTCAAAGATGAAACACCCTGAGGTAGGCCCTAAAAGATGAGTAGCAGTCCATCAGGTCTAGACAGGAGGGGAGGCACTGGAAGCAGAGGGATCACTTGTGTGTTCAAGGCCCTGTGGCAAGATAGCGCTCACATGGTATCTTCTGATCATGCCTGATAATCTGATGTGGATAGAGCTCATGGTCTCCAAAGGTGCAGAGTAGGGTTGGGCATGGTGGCACATGCCTGTTATCCCAGCAGCTTGGGAGGTAGAGGCAGGAGCATCCCAGGTTCAAAGTCAGTCTCAGCAGCCCAGAGAGGTTCTAAGCAACTCAGTGAGACCCTGTCTATAAATAAAACACAAAAAAGGGCTGGGTATGTAGCTCAGTGGTTGAGTGCCCCTGGATTCACTCTACAGTACCCCACCCCCCCAAAAAAAAAGGTGCAGAGTAGGAGATAGGGCCTGAAGGCAGAGAGGTGAGCTAAGGTGCCTGAAACCTGCACTCCAGATCACAGGCTCCACTCTTGTGCATGTTCAAGCAGGGAAGATTTACAATCAGAACTTCAGAGAGAGAACAAATTGATCATCCACATTCATATAAGTACCCATGTGTGAGCACACACCTGTGCTTGTTTATGGCGTACACACAGATCAATCCAAGATGGGGGTGGCAAAAAAAAAAAAAGTAGACAGTCACATGGGACCAGTTGCAAAGGAGTCAGAACAAACCTGTCTCATCCCTCTTTCATTCGAGATATGGGGGTCTCACACTTACCATGAGCCAGTGGGTACAGATATTTAGATAACAACCAAGGGACCAAACATAGTGCCTTCATCCAGGACATCTTCACAACACTGGAGCTCATGCTGCCCCTATGGATAACAAAAATGCCAGCAGCAGCATATATGTGCCAGGTGATTGGACTGTAGTGGCCATGGAGTATCATGGGCTCAGCACATACCTCCCTACCCCCTGTCCATCCACTGTGATTGGGTAAATGAACCTGGCTTTCTCTGGTGGTGGTGGTAGCTGGACCTGAGCAGTCACGCATGGAAGAACAACCACTGTGAACCCTGAACCTGAGAAAGCCACCAAGTTACCATGGCGGGGGGGTGGGGGTGGCGAGACAGTGAGAACTTATCCTCGCTGCCTGGCAAGCATCCCAGGTTGGCTGAGCAGCAGACACACGCACACAGACTTACACCTTGCTGGCTTGCAGAGCCCAGCTCTCTGGCCCTAGGCAGGGCGAGAGACAGCAAAGGCAAGGGGCAGAGAACTAGGAGTATCCTGCAGTACAGTCCATAGCTGACCACAGTGACCACTGCCACAAAACTGCTAGGAGCCATCTCCTGGGGGTCCAGGTTGCTTGTAGGCAGAGGTTGATGAGCTGTGCCTCACCATTTTAGGTGGTTGTCCAAGAGGAACTCGAGGATGCAGAGGCTCAGGGGGAAGCCATGATTGCTGCTGAGTGGGGATGAGGTGATGAGATTATTTGATGTGACTGTGTGTGTGGCTGGAGCCCTGTGCCAGAGGAGATGGAGGGAGGGAATGAAGAAAGGTGCAGTGATGGGCAGGAGCCACTGGAGAGGTTTGGTTCTTAGGGTGCTCTGGGGAGCCAGGGAGAGTGTCATGGTTGAATTTACATTCAGTAATTTCCCTCTGGCTGCTCTGTATGGAAAACGTTGCAAGTGGGCAGGGCACAAAGGAAAGCAAAGGAACCAGTTATGAGGCTCCTGCGATCGTCCAGTGGAGAGCCGGCAATGCCTTGTCCCAGACCACAAGCATAATGTGGACAGCAGTGGGTGAATTCCTGTGGAATTTTGCAAACAGAAGAGGCGGCACTTGCTGGTGGGTTAAGGGCAGTTGGTGAACCAACTTCAGAAATGAATGTTTCCTGTGGGGATGTTTCCTTGCACATGCTCATCAGGGAGGTGCCAAGCGTGGTCTTTGGAGGTAAGGGGACCAGGTGGGGTAGGTTTTGAGAGGGGTGAGAGACAGTTGGGAGTGTGTATGGAGCTCCTGTTTGCACGTGTCAAATTACTGAAGTCTGGGGAAACCAAATTATGGAGGCAACAGGATGCAGATAGTGTTTAAAGCCATGATTCTGAGTAGGGATCACCTAGCAGAGGACAAGCCACTAGAAGCAGGTGCTGGGCTGTTCCTCGAGCCACTCGAACAGTGAGAAGTGGGCTCGAGGAGGACAAGCCCACAAAAGGGATTGGGAAGGACTGCTCCTTGCTGCGTGTAGGGGAGTTGGTTTAACGTGAGATGAGGACAACTTTGTGGGCTGGGGTTCGGACTTCTCTTTTTCATCATCTCCCAGTGAGGCTTTGAAATGAGAGCTGTGGATATGGAGACCTTCAAAGAGTGGTCTGCTGTTCCGTGTGGCCCACCTCCTTCTTCCTATCAGGAGGGAGATAGCCAAAGGAGTGGGAGTATGGTTCGGAGAGGAGGGAAAATATAGAAAGAGTGGAGGAAGGAAGGGGTGGGTTGGCACCAGTTGGGAGATGGACAGATGGACTCTATGCAAAAGTGCATCAAAACTCCAAAGTCAGGGGTCCGCTTTGTGAAGCCTCCTCCCATGTATTTCTCATTGCCAGGGCTGCACGAGGATGCATAGCAGAATGGAGAACGGAAGCCTAAGTGTATTTAGGGATAGGCATATTGTCTCTGTTCATTCACACCAGACTCCTCCAAACAAAAATAATTGTGAGATTCAGCCCAACAAAAACTCAGCTCAGGCTTTTATCTAGGGAGTGCCCCTGTTATTTAACAAAGATGAACACTTGCTATGAAATGATCTCAAATACCACCCATTTAGCAAACGGATAAGGTTCTGAAGAGTCCAGGGAGACAGATGTGAGCGCAGAGGGATGAAATGGGAATTGGTCCTATGGAAATCAGAGCTCCACAACATAAGGACATACCTGCAAGCATGTTTCATCACAGAGCAACTCCTACCGGGCAAAGTAGAACATGAAGCAAGCATCTATCGGCTGGAGAAAGACTGATGCATTGTGGCAGAGCCATTTTGTGCATGGGTGATCACACAAACACCAACGAGCGTGACTTATAACGTGGGATGATTCAGTGGGGTTTCCAAAACCGTGTGCTATTTCTAGGTGGGGGAAGGCGAGTTGCAGAGGAGGCAATGGTATAACGCCCTGACATTGGGGGTGGGCTAGGGGAGGAATGAGGCCAAGAGATGATGTCCTACT